ATTTTATTTTTAATATTATTATTACCAAATCCTTAGAGGTGACAACAAACACGTATTATTATTAACTCATATTATGTGTTATTTACACTATAATTAATAAATATTTCATCATTTTACAGTATACTTTTGGAAATACACTAATATTCCATGTGATTGACAATAAATTCTGTTTAGCAATTACTTTAAACAAAAACGATTCTAATATAAAGGTGATGTTTTATTAAATAAAATCAACCTGTCAAGTCTGCTGTAGTTTACACTCCGCGGAATCAATGCGTGTAACCACGGTTTTCGCACGGACGCATTTTTCGTCCGTACCAGACTGTAGTTCCAAGTCACAGCTAGCCTCGGCATCAGTCTCACTGCATGTCTGTGTGTGTGTTTGATGAGGTTTGTTATTGAGGGGAAATGTGGTCACTTTTCACCAGGGACCCCATCAAAGACTTTGCTCATGAAATTCTCCCGGACAACCCGGAAAAGTCCGGAATATGGACACTGCATCGGGGGAAACGAAAGGTAAAAAGCAGCTAACGGGTTAGCCTTAGCGCGTTTGTTTATGAGGGCCTGTGCTACGTGCAACATTTACAGTTTATTTTGGCCTTCTTGTCTGGTCTGTTAGAGTTTTGTCGCCTAATACACTGTCGGTGTTGCTTATTTTTTCCTTTCGGAGGGATTGTCTTTGTTCTGATCAGATATTAGGCTGAGCAGAGGCTCCGAGTTCAACCCACCAGACCAGACACGTATTTCTCGCCACGTCACCTCGTTAACCGACCCGACTATTACTTAAATCGTTTTAAAAGCCGTTATTTCAACGCTGTTACAAACAGCTGACAGTGTGGACCAGACTGTAGGGATTATTGTCCCTGAAAAGCTGAGGCTGTCAGATGTCTATCATCATCTCCACCGCAGGATCAGATGACTGCTGAACATCAACTTCCTTCCTCATCTTCAATCCTTAATCTAGTTTTACGTTCAATAAATGAATAAAAGTATTTCTTATTTTAGAGCAAGTAAAAATGTTCAGTATGGCATGAGAGTGATTCACCCTGTCCCCCTTCAGACTACAGGAGATCCTGTTTCTGTGTTTGTCTATGAAGTGGCTCAGGGAACAGAGCAGCAAACCCAGCTGGCCAAAGCTGCCTTCAAACGAATCAAGACACTGCGGCATCCGAACATCCTGGCCTATGTCGATGGACTGGAGGTATTTATTCAAATCGAAATGATTCTGCGTGTTTCATATGAATTATTTTAACGGTTAGAGGCGAGAAGCAGAGCTGTCGTATATGATCAGGCTGTGCAACATCTGCTTTTTTCTCTCTGCCTGCCTGTGTTCAGAGGGAGGTGAGTTAATTAGCTTTTAGCTGCTGTATATGTAGAGCAATAATGTAGCAGGACAGTGCACATTAATCACACTTCAGTAAAAATAAATGCAAACTTGTGTTTTTTTTTATATAGAATGAATGAATCACTCTGCTGTGTTTTTCAGACATAATATATTTGAAGGTGCGTCTGTTTTATTTCATTTTTCTCTGGTTGTTCCAGACCGACAAGAGCCTTTACGTGGTGACTGAGCAGGTGACGCCACTGGCAGTTCACCTGAAGGCCCAGGCAGAAAAGGGCGGAGCTGGAGAACTGGAGATATCATGGGGACTACATCAAATAGTGGTGAGGACAGGACACAGTATTATCTAATGCTTTACAGAGTTTCTGTTGTTTTAACTAGGGAAGCACGATAACTTATTTTAAGAACTGATACCGATGACTTTCTTCTTCTAACGGCCGATAATAACCGATAACATGCCAGGAGATAAGACAGTCAAAATGGGTAAGATCATAACATAAACAAGACAAAAACCAAATGACACTGTAAATTGTAGTATTTGAAATAAACTCTTAGCAAACAAACGTTTCTTAAAGCACATCAAACAAAACAATTTCTCAAATGGCCATTTTATAAATAAGGCACATTAATTATAAAAAGACCTTTAACACTGATCTCAGATTTAAACAAAAGAGAAAAAGTCCTTACACAAGTTCAAAACAGATAACTCACTGACACGGAGATAAAAGCTTCAGTCTTTAGGGAGGGTGAACAGCTGCTTGTCAATCTCTATCATTAAAGTGCTTGAGATCTGCGTCATCTCTGGCAATTATTTTTGATTTGTCCAAAGCCTCGGCAGTGATTTAAGTCCCGATGAGTTCTTGAACGCTAGCTTGTTGTTGTTAGCATTTTAGCAGACGGACTTTGTGCTGCGTTCAGGAGGTAACGGACATCACATGTTCTCAAAGTGGGAGTAGTTGTTCTGATGTTTATAATTATAAAGTTTGTGTGTAACATACAGGGTTAATTGGTAAAATAATATAAATAATTCTTAAAATGACTGGTTGTTTTTCAGCACAGAGTATTCTAATTTTTGTTCTAGTGAGAAAGTTGTTTATTCCGACGCAACTCGAACGTTGCTCGGGTCGTGCCGGGCGGGAAACGACTTGACCAAAAAAAATAAACAAACACACATTCTCATCACCGCGCTGGTGAACACATACATATGTTATCGGTTCTGTTATGATATCGGACCGATGAGAATGACATCGTAACGCCCCTGGTTTTTACCGTCTGTTCTGGCAGAAAGCCCTGAGTTTTCTGGTCAACGACTGCCACCTGCTTCACAACAACTTGGGCATCTGGGCTGTTTTTGTGGACCGAGCCGGGGAGTGGAAGCTAGGGGCCTTGGAACATCTGGCTCCTGAGCAGGGTGACCCCAGCGGGGTTTCGCTCCCTGGCCCAAAAGCTGTTTACCCGGACATGGAGAAATACGACCCACCGGAGATGTCCAACAGCAGTGGAGAGAAATGGTGAGGGGGAGAGTTATTTATTTAAAAAAAACCTCCAGGTTTTTAAAGGGAGGAGACGTGTTCAGCTGGGTGTATTTCTGCTGGCAGGGCGGGGGAGGTGTGGCGACTCGGCTCCCTGATTTGGGAGGTGTTCAACGGGCCGCTACCTCGGACCTCCTCTCTGCGTTCGCTGGGAAAAGTACGTCTTTAGCTTTGATTCTCGCTGAGTCATTTCAGCAGCACAAAAGTAGTAAGCTCTATTTTTTTTCTTCTATTTTTTTTTTTTCAGATTCCCAAGTCACTTGTCCCCCACTACTGTGAGCTGGTTGGGGCCAATCCACGGGCTCGACCAAACCCGGCTCGCTTCCTCCAGAACTGTAGAACCCCTGGAGGATTCCTCAGCAACAGCTTTGTGGAAAGTAACCTGTTCCTGGAAGAGATCCAGGTGAGCAGCTCTGCCAAGATCAAAGCAAATCGTATGAATCTGTTGGCCTTCCTGTGTGTTCAGGGTTGGTTTGGTTGAACATCGAACTTCAGCTCTTTTATTTCTTCATGTGTGGTTATTAAAGCTGCGTTATTGGTAATATTAACATAGATGTTTTTGTTCTTCGGTAGATCAAAGATCCAGCTGAGAAGCAGCAGTTTTTCCAGGACCTGAATGATAATTTGGACTCGTTTCCTGAAAACTTCTGTAAACATAAAGTCCTGCCTCAGCTGCTCACCGCCTTCGAGTTTGGCAACGCAGGAGCCGTCATCCTCACGCCGCTCTTCAAGGTAAATCCTGTCCTCTTTCAGCACCTTTCAGAGATTCTGTTGGGTGAAGTGTGTTTGAGCTCTGACCTCATGCTGTTGGTCTGCCAGGTGGGGAAGTACCTGTCAGCAGAAGAATACCAACAGAAAATCATTCCTGTCATCGTGAAGATGTTCTCCTCCACAGACCGAGCAATGAGGATACGACTTCTGCAGCAGGTATCTTCTTCTTCTTTATCTTCAGCTTTTCTTCTTCTTCTTCACATTTTCTTCTTCTATTTCCTCATCGTTATCTTCACCTGTTTTTGTTGTTGTTCTTCCCCTTTCCTCCTCCTCTTCTACTACTTCTTATTATTATTATTATTCCTCTTCCTGTTGTTCTTCCCCCTTCATTTTCCTACATCTTGTCTTTCTCTTCACCTCCTCCTGTTCTTCTTTCTCCTCCTTATTCCTCCTTTTGTTCTTCTTCCCCTTTCCTCCTCCTGTTTTTCTTCCTGTTGTTCTTCCTCCTCCTGTTCTTTTTCCCCCTTTACTTCTTCTTCTTCTTCATCCAATCTTCTCCCTCCTGTTACTTATCTTCTTCCTCCTCTTCTTCTGTTTCCTTATTTTTCTTCCCCTGCTGTTCCTCTTTTTCATCATCAACTGCTTTTAATTCATCCTTCGAATTCTTCCTCGTCTTCTTTTCCTGTTCTACCTCTTTTCATCTTCTTCCTCCTCCTCCTCTTCTTGTCTTTATTTTTTAACATTTGTTTAAAGTAGTAAAAGCTTTGTTCTAAAACATTTACTAGAAACAGGTTGTATTTTTTAAATGTTACACACACACACACACACACACACACACAC